TAATTAATTAACTACTAACTAACACACTTACGTTGTCACTTACTTATAGTTGTAGTAGTATATATATATATATATATATATATATATATATATATAAAAACAACAACATTGAACAGTTATATGCTACTCAGGTTGGCTATTTCAAAAAGTAATTATTTTTTGCTTCTACTTACTTCCCAGAACCAATGTTTGCATTTAACTTGCATTAACCTAAAACTGAAATGTCAAAACATGATTAAAAAAAAACAGAAGGTTGTGTTCTGAATAAATACTGAATAAGTTTCACTGAAAGTAAAAAAGGATACCAGTCTTTTGAACTTTATACAAATAGAACAGTTTGTGTGCTATCTAGATGAATGTAACTTAATCCTGCATACTCACAAGAGTGCTAAATGGACACTATGGTGTACTATAATATGTAAAATTCATCATGCTTAAAAAAAAGTTCAGCATATTTATTAATAAAGCCAATGTCATACTGATGTTTTTCTGTCAAATGTTTGAAAGAAGAAAAAATTGCTGTCTGTATAATATCCTGGTACTATACAGGAATTAACAAATAGCAGTTTTTTAAAACTAAGGTACATTTTTAGTAATGACAGAAAAATCATCTTTAAGATGAATAATATTTACTTTTTGAGCTCAAAGGAGAGTTAACCACATCAATAAACTACAGACTTACAGATTCTTGACCTACCTTTTCTTTGACTAAAGGTCCCCATTTAGGGTCAACATCAAACATTGGATTCTTTTCTAACCACTCAGATAGATGCTTAAGAGGTGGAGCTTTACTACCAGTGATCTGTGAAGAGATGAATAATAAAAAAGGAACATAATTTCTCCCTCAGAATGTTTTTTCATTACGCAATGCAACGATAGTGCTAACTATCTGTACTTTGTTTTAAATACTCTACATACCATCTAAACATGTTTCTTACAAAATAGTTGCAATTAATCAAAATAGTGTCTTAAAGTAAAACACAAAAATATTCAAAATTTCTTTTTTACAATAAAACAAAATGAAAATATAATGCCAACCCAATTAATAAGCCATGTAGATCTACTTATTATTTCATCATTTAATACTGTTTCAGCTTAACCCAATCTGCCCAGGCATCATTTACTGTGCATGTCACAAGGTTTTAGTGGTTTACATTCAAAATTTTATTAAACTACTTATTGTACCACCTATATTAGCACAGCTAACTCCCTCTGCTATTCCTGCTCAATCCTTACTTTTGAGAATTGGCAGGCTCTAAAAGAAGAACATCAGCCATGGGGAGGAAGGGTGGGAAGTGTGAGTAATCAGAAATGCATTTTCAGCATAAGAAGAATGTTAACTTCCAATTTTATAGCACAAAATCTTAGCTAATAATCCATATTTTAATAGTATACAAGTTTTAAGTTCTTAATTTTATAAGGCAATATTTAAAAAAAATCCTAAATTTCCCCTAGTGTGAAAAATTTTCTATAGGCATCCAATCTTCTCTATTTTATTCACCACCCCTTCCAAGTACAAAATTTAATGTAAATTACTCACTATATACTCAGACAAACCATAATTTTTATAGCTTTCAATTTTGTTTGGTTACAGAGCCATCAAACAGAAAATTAGACCCCTCTTGACACAACTACTTGTAACATCCTTTCAGGATTTGTTAATAGTTCTTTCTTACGTTTAATTATATATCATCTATTACCAATAGAAAGCCAAGGTTTTCATCTATCAAAAGACATATTACATTACATTGTGTTCTAAACAGACAACTCAATTTCTTTTTTAGTATAAGCTTCATTCCCATGGGAACGATAATGACCAGCTTGGATGAATTTGTAACGGCTCTTTTCGCACAGGTAGAAAGCCAGAAAATTTGTGATAGAGGAATTTGTTTGTCTACTTTTTGCATGTTATTATTCTATGTTCTTTGGTGCATTATTTAATCAAATAAAAATTATTTTGTGCATTTACTACCATTAGCATAAAAAAAGTAGAGTTGAGTTTCATTGGCAGTTGACAGCAAAAAAAAAGTAAAAATGTAAAAATATGGACCTCTTTACAATTTGAAGTCATTTTAGAAAGAAAAAGAGGGTAATTTAGATTTATCGCTTTTTTTTGTGGTTATAAGGTTGGTCAAATTGACCAACTTTGAATAGAGTTAGGGTAAAGAAAATAGCAGATAAAATATAAAGTTTTACTGAAAACAAATATTTGAAATGTATTTAGGTTTTAGAGAATACACAAATGAAATTTGAGATTTTTGAGATGAAGAAAAGTATTTTTAATCTTAACACAAAAATCACTTTGCATACGAACTATTAAGAAATACACAATATATTCACAAACAAATCTTTTTTTTAGTTTATCAAAAATAATTCACTCAAAAATATTATTTTTTGGATATGAAAGACTTGTAATGTTTACTGAAAGACTGACAAATTTTGTGAAGATACACATATTATATTAAAAGTTAGTAGTATCAAATCTGTAAAGACTTTGAAGGAGTACAAAGAGGTCATGTGGTTGGTCAAATTGACCAATTACTATTTTTTACAAAAACAACAAACCTTTTTTCCAGTAACTCTGTTAACAACAGACACATTCTCTTCCCCAGTAAGTTTCATAGGGTCCAATCTAGATGGATCCAGACGTGGACGACGGCCACGTCTTCGTCCTTCTGGAAGCTCTAGTAGTTCAGTCTGAAAAAAAAAAAAGTTTTATTAAACTACTCTAGTTATCCACAGACCTATAAATCAAGGTGATAATCCATTCTCATTATAAATCAGTTCTATATTACAGAATTATTCCACACTAAAACTGAAATATTTTTACAATGTTGAATTTAAAATGAATATAAAAACACAATGAAAATTTTGAAACTAATATCTGAAGTGAATATGGAAGGATAATAAAAAATTTTCACACATGATGTGTTACACATTAGAGTAAAAAACAGTGGTTTCAAAGAGTGAAAAGATAAATAGTCAAATCACAGAAGGCTTACATGGGGTGGCATATTGGATAATGGACTAAAAGCCATAGCAGCAGCCGCAGCAGCAGCCAAGTTAGGGTTAGAAGCAATCAGTTCAGGATGTTCATCCATCCATTTCTTTAGATCCTGTCGTACTGCTGCAGCTTGTTCTGCTAATGAGATATTACTGGAGTGCCCAGAGCTTTCATCTGCTTTGGAGCGTATGGGAGATGAATCTGGAAAAATTTATTCATTTTTAGGTTTGGGTCAGAAAATCTGTGCTCAAACACTAGTGAAAAAAATATGCAATACAATTATTTTGAAAATAATTATTCTTTTGCATTCTTACTTTTGATTGCCTCCTACGTAAATTCAGAAATCTGATTTGTTATACTTTTATTCCACATATGATTAATTCTACAGTAAAATTTGTTTTTATGCTTGTTTCTTAACAGGTTAATATTCCTTACATATCAACTAACCTTCTGTCAAAAAAAATTCCATTCACAATAATTTTAACAATATTATAATAATTCTTATTTTTTTTATCTGCTAGTTTCAAGTTTTCATCCTTTATACACTTAAGAAGACATAACAATTTTAATACCTAGCTATAGGCCTCTTAAACTCCAAACAGGTTAAGTTATAAAGTGATTTTTTTTCAGTGCTAACTGCGTTTGCACTATCTGTTAAAAACACCCATTCAAGATAGACAAACTCTACAATGTAAACATATGACTGACCAAACATGACATTCTAAATTAATCACATTAAATAAAGTACATGCAATAACAACTCAAAAGTCACCAACATCATAATAAAGAAGTGGAAATTGTATTTATAAAACACCTATGTCCCCACTTTGATCTTAACCTTCATAAGCTAATCAGGTCTATAACTTTGTACGCAATACCTGTTGTATATGTTTGGTCAAAATTCATCCATCCAAAGATGAGATATACTGTCTACAACATCAGGAGAGATGGACAGGGGCAAACCAATATTCCCCCTTACTGCTTCACACAATAGTAATTCTTTGGTCAGGTTTATATTACATACAAAACATTTGTTGTTGCAAACTAGCTATTTAACAAGTCAGAAAACTATTTTGGAAACCCACCTTTTTTCACCCTGGAACTTCCTGATGACTCGGTGTTATGAGGATGAACAGAAGATAGTAATGACGATGACAAACCAACATTTAAAGTACGGTTTCTAAGATGCCAGTCCTGCTCGTCTGACTGTAATTAATGACAAATTAACATTTCATAGAATATTTCTGAAGCTAAATTTTTTGGGATAATTTTTGAATACTACTTGAAACAGATAAAATTCTAGTGTTATTACACACACACACATTTTTTGTGATACCAGTGAATATCTGATTCAAAATACAACTGGAGACACAAATAAGGTTTACCTCTTTTGATAATATATTGTACTTCATTAATCCTTACATTCATAAACACATTTCTTTTGGAGAATTTAGAGGAATTGTTGTTTGAGAACTCATTAATAACAGTTGTATTCTAAACTGTTTTTTCCATATTATTATCTTCTTCAGTTCTTTACAGAATGACATTTTAAAATGAAAGTACAATGCACATCCATTCAAAGCATTTATTAAGAATAAATACATTCTTCTTTTACTAATGGCATAAATGTACAGTCTTCAGATGATAATCTAAAACCTAATGATTCAATGCATCTTTCAACAGTTAAATTTAAGACTTTTGGAAACTGACAAAGTATACTGTACATTGCCAAAATACACACTTTTTTTTTCTCTCTATTGTACTTGGGACAAATATTGCTTTTGTTAATCTGACAAAATATTAAAAGTGTTTCACTGGCTGAAAGTTGATTGTTTCACAGAGCAAAAAAACAAAAAAAACAACAAAAAACAACTCATTCTCCAAAACTATATTACCTACAGTTTGTATAATGATGTGATAAACTCCAATTTAATAAACAATTATTTTTCAAACTATCATTTAATTAAATTTTTTTCTTCTGAACTCATGCAGGGGAAAGTGAAGTAAATTGGTCTTCTTTGGTATAATGACTATCCTTATATATCATTAGTTATGAAATGTTGCTATCTAGAATGAATTATATTTATGCTATAATATAACACTGGAAAATAATCACACTGTAACATTATTTTTTTGTTTTTTATGGCTTTGATCTAAACTAAGGGTTTAGAAGTTTTCATGGTTTCAAAGTGCACACATATATCAGGGATTTTCTCTTTGCTGAATTCAAACAATAAGTAATTATGGACAGCCAAATATGCTGTAAAAGAAACTGTTCAAGTTTGCCATTTTTTTTTATAATGGGTGATTGTTTTATAATAAATGGCTGAGGGTAAGGTGGCCCCAGTTTTATGACCTGTGACTTTTTTTATGGTGAGTGGCCATTTTTCACCACACTAGTACACCCATTCTTTTACATCATTGCCCTAGATAATTTACCACTTGTGCATGATCCTCCATGTTCCCAATCCTTGCCAAAAGCATTTAAAGGTTGATATAAGTGGTTTAAATGCAGTTTCTAATTGCAACATTTATTTAAATCTAGCAGAAACCTGCAATACATTTGCGGCCAAATTAGTATCTTTATTGGAACAGTACTTCTTTAAATACAGGATTTCTAGTGTAATACAAAAGAATTCTAGTAACAGACACTAAAATCTGCAAGTCCACTTGCCTTAGTCCAAACGTTAGTTAAGCCTTTATTAAGTACAGCCTATATTCAATAAATAAAGAGATAAATTAACACTGTAACTTGCATAAATTTTTTGCTTTAATTCAGTTACGGCTCAACCTTACTGCACTTAATACTATCAATAAATAATCCCCTAATATTATTCTACGACCTAATGTTAGACCTTTTGAAAAACGTTGATAGGCTTTTAATATGTTGTATAAAATGTATATTTATGAACTCAACAATTTAACAAAGATACGTTTCAAATTGCAAAACAGGTGCAATTTTTTATACATTTTAGTCCAAATATATCTTTAATTTTTGATCAGTCTTAGACTACTCGCTTCTAATTGACAGGAAGCCAAACTACTTAAATTATGTAATAAGTTGCTATGACCTAACTGAGTGACCGAGAGACACAGACAGACAGATACACACTGTATTTTATAGTATTAGATTGCAGTTATGAGTTAGATGGGAGCCATTTTACCTTATCTCGGAAGTTTGTTTTATCCAACTTATACGTCAAATGGCTCCCGACCACACTAACTCAAGTGTTTTCAATATCTCAAAAACGTTAATGCCAGTCATGGTTTTCACTAGAAATTATATGTATAATGCATAAGGGTTTCTTTTAAGACCTTTTGCTTTTTCATGACAGCCATCTTAATTCATGAAAACTGAATTCAAAATTAATGTGGCTGTCTTACCATACATTCCCCTACAGTGATTAGAATTTAACTTGAAAAATAAGCTTCTCAAGTCTAAAAAAATTAATTCATAACTTTCACATCCCTGAATAACCCCATCTTGAAAGTGGTATTCCCAATGGAAAAATATATTAACCCTTTAAACACAGGCAGATAGAATAACCATCCACTCAACTAGGAAGGATGTTTACGGTATTTTGTACACAAAGAATGACATCATTCTAATTATGTCTTTCTGATAAAAACATTATTTATCTATAGTAGTTATATGCACTCAGATTGTTAAAACAATTTGAGTGCAAGGTGATTTTCATTTTAAGTATAAAAATACTTTTCTTCATCATATATTTTTCATACTTCATTTGCATAAACTCTAGAAGCTCATAAACGAATATCACGAGTTTTTTAAAGTAAATGTTCATATATTTTATTTTTCATTTTCTTTAACTTGTTACTAAATAGCCATTATCATCAACCTACAATACAACGGAATGATTAAAATTAGGACATAAAAAAAAACATCCCTTTTAATTTTTTGTAGAATATATTTAAAGATATTTTGCTTATAATTGTAATTTTAGGTCTTTCCCTTTTCACATATAGTTAATTTTTAATATTTTCTTTTCTATTCTTGTCCTTTACCACTTATTATTCATCTCGACACAAGTCAATGGTGCCCTTGAGGCATATTACAGTTTTGTTTAGCGTGTAATATCTTAAGCCTTGAGAATGGATGCAAAGTATGATGTATATTTCAAAAATGATTAAACCTTTTAATTATGCATTTCAAAACAAACCTAATATATAAGAGTAAGACCTAACTACAATTTAAACTGTATCTCTAACTATAACATATTTAGGTAAGAAAGAACTGTAAGTGCTATAGTCAATCAACTAGCCAAAAATATTAGTCAGTTAGATGTACTCTGTGACAACAAGTTGATGCCAATTTCAAATTAACCACTGTTAGATTATATCGTACAACAAGCTCTTTCTAATGTTTATACACGTGTATGTAACATCTACATGGAAACTCTACAGCTCAAATAAATATGATGAAGGTGGGCATGGCAACTGTCAGGAGTTGAACAAAATTATTACTTGTTTCACCTGTATACATTCAGAGAACTTTGAAACGAACGAGTCATAAGGTTATGTAAGCATCTTATTGTCTAGGTGTACCTCTACTCAATTGCCATTGTATTATTGAAGATACAGAGAATCAAGGTAGAGAATTTTCAAAGCTTGTTGGTCACATAACATCTATGTTTAAGTAGCTTATTTAAAGGTTTCTTTATAAATAATGGACTTAAAACTTAGATAACATAAAACTTTGAATCATAACATATGTATAATGTTAATTTAATTCACGTACATAGATATTAAAGGTGTTTAATTAAATTTTGAATGTAACAGTGACTTAAACAGAAAAGTATTTAAAAGCGGTATCCTTCATGAAAGGGTTAACTGAATACATTACTCTTGTTTGTCATACTTATCTCTGTACATAAATAATGAGACTGATATAATTTTTCTCATTTAGAATTAATCACCAACAACCAAAAGCAAGTTAGTAACTATGCAGAAAAACATTTAGGTGCAAATTAAAACCAAATCACAGTTTACAGGTTTATATCATTCAATATTATACAATATAGTTACCTTAATTTACTCAATTATTTTTGGAATCAATGTACAGAGAAAAACACAAAGCTTTTTGCATAAATTCAAAGGTTTCGAAGTTGATATTAGCATTTACATCAATGGCATTTTTCACTTGATCAGACTATACAAAGTTACTGTCAAGTATTAATACACACTAAAGAGCCATAGCAATATCAGTATAATTACTGAAGTACATGAATAAATGGTGAAAAGGTCAGGAATAAAACTACAGTACTTATTCTAATAAGCTATATCACACAGAATTTTGCACACATAAAACACACAGAAGGAATGAGAAAATTTCATAAATAAGAAGTAAAATTCATGCATCAATTGAGATTTAGGAGAAATGCAACCCCATCTGTTCTCAATAACTAAACCTCAAATTTTAAAAAGTTATACTTTCCTCTCTACTACGATTACTGTATTTAAAATGATAATTATAATTATCTAAATTTGTTATGGCAATATCACTTATTTGAGTTATAATACCATGAAATGATTATGTAGACCATACATGCTGTTTAGAAACATTCTGTAATAATACCTTATGAACAATAAAATAACTTAATATTTAAGTTTCACAAACGAGAAATGGCAAACTTCAGATCACGGGATAACAATTTCTTTTCTATTTCATTTGAAGTATGATCAGCAAAATGAGATATAACATCATTAGAAATGTCTCAATAATTATAATCATTGCATCCAAGTTTGCTGTCGACCATCATAAGGATCATCAGCTTGCTTTATTGGACACTTTTATACATGACAATGAAGGCAAATTTGAAAGTGAAGTTTCTCATAAAGACATTTACAGGTCCATATTTTTATTTAAATAGTTTTATCACATCACTGGGGGTGCAAGCCAGCACAACTCGGTGCCGGTCCAAAGCCCGGATAAATGGGGATGGTTGACGTCAGGAAGGGCATCCGGCCGTAAAAACCCTGCCAAAACCAAATGACAGTTCATTTGAATGTAGTCTCGGAAAATGCCATGGCATCCCCTGAATGCGATGCGCAGGGATCTCGCCTGACCCATGTGAGAAGTGAGCGAGGGCTACCACGTCAAGGACGGGCGCGGCCAAAGAAGTAAGTCCAAAATCTAAGAGTTGGAATGCTGAACATAAAAAGCATGACAGGAAGGGGTAGAGAGCTGGCAGATCTGATGGAGAGAAGAAAGGTGGGAGGGTTGTGTGTGCAGGAGACGAGGTGGGGTGGGGGGGACAAGTCGAGGGACATTGGTGCAGGATGTAAGCTCATCTACAGGGGAGTAAACGCCCAAGGGCGGAACGGTGTAGGCATTGTACTGGACAATAAGTGGAGGGAGGATTTTGGTGAGCGTGGGAAGGAGGAGCGATAGGATAATGAGTTGGGAGTTGGAAGTGCGGTTCTAAATATGGTTTGCACATACGCTCCACAAGTGGGATGTACTGAGGAAGAGTTCTGGAGACATCTGGACGAAGAAATAGAGTCGATACTGCAGGAGGAAAGAGTGTTTCTGGGAGGGGACTTGAATGGGCACATCAAAGCAGAAAGAGGGGTACTGCCCAGGGTACACGGTGGATGGGGTGTAGAAGGGAGAAACAGGGAAAAAAGAAGAAAAAAAGAAATAGAGTCGATACTGCAGGAGGAAAGAGTGTTTCTGGGAGGGGACTTGAATGGGCACATCAAAGCAGAAAGAGGGGTACTGCCCAGGGTACACGGTGGATGGGGTGTAGAAGGGAGAAACAGGGAAAAAAGAAGAAAAAAAAGAAATAGCGACCCCGTATAGATACGGGAAAAGCTACAGAAGAAGAAGATCACATTACTGGTGAAAAAAAATTCAAGATTTTGGTTCTTTGTGCTTATGTGATTTCTAGCATATTTGAATATCTGCATAAGGAACTAGATAAAATATTTTGTATTGAAAAATGGTTTTCCAGTCAATTCTGTTGATAACATCATACAAGAATATTCAGAAACAGTTAAAAAACACATCTATAATGTACCAAAAAATTACATAAGCATTTTCATAGAACTTAATCCCTAATACATTTACATGTAATTTTTAGACCAGAATGAAGATGCAAGTTTTTTTGGATTTAAGGACAAAATATTCTCTAATAGCATCAAAAGTAGTTTATGAATTTAAGTGTCCTAAATGCAGCTCTAGGTATACTGACTCTACTACTTAATAACTAAAAACAAGTCTAGTACAAATGATCATGTTCTGTGAGGCTGTGATATAGTAACACACTCATCTATGTTTAAGATTCTGTCTAAATGTAACAATCAGAGAAAGCTTTGCTTCAAAGAAATATTGTTAGTTCAAAAACTATGGCCTGAACTGAATGTAACTAGTTCATTGTTAAAAATATAATTGTGTGTCTTTTGGTATGAGTTAACAACAGAATAGAATGGCAAAAGTTTTTTTAAGTTTTCTTTTTACCTTTACTCTGAAGAAGTATGAAAGCTAGTAAGATTAATAAATTAGAGTCCCTTAATTACTTCCTACCCCTAAATTGTTTAATGTTAAGAAGGCAGTGGATTTTGGTCTTTAGTTTTAGTTTGTCTTGTCTATTTAAGTGGTGGCACTGGGATTTGCAGCATGTTAAATTGTAGTATGATTTTTATTTTACTGCAAAACAGGAGTGTACAATTTTGTATTCCTAGTCCTGCTCAAAGTATTAATGTAAAAACTGTAATAATGTTTGTTTAAGTGGGTGAGTAATATGTTCAAAAAACTTAAGTCTTTATACCTTTTAGCATTGAAATGTTTCATTGCTTTTCATAGTGTGGTTTATCATTTTGTCAACCTTAAAATCTGTTATTATTTTAATTTCCTAACAATGAATACTGTAAAACAGCAATATGGATATTCAACTTTATCTCACGTACAGAAAACAGAAACAGTATGTTAAATATTGAAAAAAATCAATTAATTTTAAAATTTCAAGTACAGTTTCATATTTATTTTTAGCCTTACTATTAATGATGTTTATCATTCAAAACAATATCCATAAATTGAAATGGTAAAGAAACTAAGAAATTTTAAAGACTTACAAGACTATTAAACATAAATATGAATTTTAAAGAAACAAATTAGTAATACTGATTATACCTACACAAGTAATTGGATTTTAACTCAAAATGATTTTTCTTAAATGTAGATAAAAACAATTGGACATATTATGTCAATTGATAAGACAACAAATTTGAAATATTTTTGGAGATCATCTCATGAAGTTATATTTAACTTTTCTGATTATACTCTAAATGAAGTAGATAAGAAAGAGTTATCCAACAGTCTGAAGTTTGCCTTACTCCTGTTGAAACTTAAAATATGAAATTTATCTTCTACTACTTAATCAATTATCTTATGATACTAATTGATTGTCATAGTTTATTGATCATTTGAGTTAACTGCCAAGCTCTAACTGCAGATGACTCCTAACAAAATCTTAATTTATAGTACATTGTTAAATAAAGACAGCTAATAATTAAACATATTGTAGCATACTCTTAACAAAAAATAACATTTTCCCTACTTATTTATCCTTTTTCGTTTTTGAAAATTATAAATGTAAATCACATTGAGCTTTCATTTCCTGATTAAGTTCTAGAAAGTAGCATGCTAGTCATGCATAAAATGTTAGTAAACAAAACATTTCCAGCATAATGAAAATAATATGTCTAGTAATAATTAGCTTAATTAAACCTCAAAATTATAATTTAGTTTTTCTTACATAAACTCTTATCATACTATTACTGATATATATATATATGTGTGTGTGTGTGTGTGTGTGTGTGTGTGTGTGTGTGTGTGTGTGTGTGTGTG